GTTAAGTCGGGCCTGTCCCTCTACAGGGGGAATATTCAAAAATAGCCAAAAGATCGTATGGGGACTATTTTGGATAAATTCTGAGTATGTTTAGAGCATGTTCGGTGTATTTTTTATTTTTCGTCCAAAATTGGCCTGCAGGGGGACAGGCCCGACTTGACTGTACTGTCGTCCGGCCCCAGACCTCCCCAGCAGTGGCCTCCCAAGGCGGGGGGCCCGGCGGAGAGCTGTGGGAGCCCCGCCGCGAGGCCACGCTTGGTCTCGGGCAGGGCAGCGGCGGGCGATGATGCGGGCGACGATGGTGATGATGACAGTGATGCCGATGATGAAGGCGACGATGATGATGACGACAGTGATGATGATAATGATGATGACGATGATGGTGATAATGACGAAAACGATGACGATGATGACGATGACGACGACGACGACGACGACGACGACGACGACGACGACGACGACGACGACGACGACGACGACGACGATGATGATGATGATGATGATGATGATGATGATGATGATGATGATGATGAGGGGTGGAGGGAGAGGGCAGCGGGAATCGCGAACACGGGGCGCTGTCGCGTCAAAACGAGGACCCACCACAGGATGGCTGGGAAGAACCGGAATCCAAGAAACCCGCGCGGAGCGCCAAAACTTTCTGTTTGTGTTTTTTTTTTGGCTTAGCTTTCAGCGGAAGAGGTTCGCTCTCGCCCTGCAGATCCAACAGTTTATGTGTTTCTGTTGTTTTGCTGCGAAGGTTGTGGGCCGAGGCCGAGGTCCAAGTGCGAAGGTCGAGGTCTAAGGCCGAGGTCGAGGTGCTAAGGTCGAGGTCCAAGGTCTAAGGTAATGTTGAGGTCTAAGGTCTAAGGTCTAAGGTCCAAGGTCTAAGGTCTAAGGTCTAAGGTCTAAGGTCTAAGGTCTAAGGTCTAGGGTCGAGGTCGAGGTCTAAGGTCGAGGTGCGAGGTAGAGGCCACCCTTGCAGCCAGGCCGGGGCATAAGGTTCTAGTTCGTTGGCCCAGTGTGGAAGTTGGACCTATTTGTTGTTTTCTGAGGTGTTCGAAATATGTTCGTGGGCTGTGTTCTGAGATGTTCGAAATTTGTTCGTTTCACGGGCGCTCCGGAAACACCCGTAAACCTATCATTGCTCCAGCAGTTTTCGGACATCTTCGATGTATAAATCGTTGATCTTCAAGGACCATGGTCAAGGTCGGGATCGGCTCGGGGATGGGTGCCTCAATGCTCTTCGTCTTTGTTGACTTCGCCTGTGCATCACCGTGGAGGGCGCCCTAGAGTGGTCATCTGGTTTGGGGTGCTTTTTGGGGGGGCCGGCGGATGGCCTCGCGTTCGTGAAGGATGTTGTTCTGGCTCAGGCCCGATTGCAGTTACGGGTATAGCCAGGACCCCGGGTAAGGGGACCCGGTTAGTGTGGCAGGGACCTGGGGCCTCTCAACTGGCCAGAATCACTACACCAGGTCTGCCGCAGCTGGTGTTTTTCGGGTGACGGCAGCTCCGGTTAGTGAAATGGGGCGGGGGGGGGCGTCCCCCAGCACAAATCACGAAACCAGGTCCCACTGAACCCAGTTCTGCCAACGCCCGAAAGAAGAGCGAAACGAGGAGGAGAGCGCACAACGCTGCTCGGAGCTCGAGCCGCGTTCGCCACCCCGGGGCGGTGTGGTGTGGCCCCCGCAGGGCGGCGACCCCGGGGCCCTGCCGAGGAGGCCCATGCCAAGAAGCTGCTTGCCTCCAGGGTGCCCCGGGTGTCCTGGGTTTCGGTGGTTCTGCTGTGGAAGGCGCGACGCTCTCACACCAAACATTAAGAAACGTCCTGGGGTCTCAGGATTGGGTGGCTCGCGGAAGGTTTCTTGTGAGGTGGCCTCCTTGTCAGAGTCCTGAGATCTCAGGTTACGACGTCTCAGCAATGAATCCTGGGTGGATTTCGAAATTGTTCGGCGGAAGCAAAGAGCCGGCGAGGCGCGATGAAACCGTGTTCGAAAATCGCAACGGAAATGTTGATTGCGCGTTCTTCCCAGCGGTCCTGCGTAGCATCGGCTAGTGTTGCCAGCGTTTCCCATGTGATTTCAACGCGTGCGCAGTGTGCAAAAAACCTACATCCTCCCTCTCCCCCTTCTTCGCCTGCTCCTTATGTTCGTTCAGCTGTTGCTGATGTTGTTGTTACTCCTCATCCCCCTTATCCTCCCCAGTTCTTCGCTCCCCTCGTCCTCCTCCCGCTCGCGTTGCCCCCTCGTCAACGTACGCCTCCTCGCCCTTGGCATCTCCTTCATCATCCTATTACCCCTCCCCCTTCCCCCCTCGTCAGCAACATCCTCCTCGCCTTCATCCTCCTCCGTTTTCCTGCCGCGTCATCTTCTCCCCTTGTGTTGCTGCTTCTCATTCTCGTGAATATCTTCCTCCCTCTTTTCTCCATTCACCCTCTCCCCCCATCTCCCCCCCCGTCCCCCACGCCGCGTTCTGTCGTAACGCCATGTTCGGGGGTTTCCCGCGGGGTTCGATCCCCTTCTCCCCCCCCCGCTTCCAGCACAGACTAATTTCCTTCGCTCTCTTGGAACGTACCTACTCCCTCCTCTTCTGGCACCCTGGCAGGGCACCGGTCGGGCGCAACAGCAGCGAACAAGATTTGTCGGTGGCAGACGGGGGGTGGTTTTTTGGTCGGGCTTTCCTCGGCGATGGGTCAATTTGTTTGGGATTCCTTCGTTCGCATTAGTTCCAGGCAGAGAAGTCACGGATCGGCGCGGCAATCAGCAGTGATCCAGGCAGTGTAGTTTTTGTTGACTTGCCGTCTCCAGGGTAAATTTGTCGGTTCGTCGTAACGGCGGCTCTTCGTCTGACGCGAGGCATGCAGATTCAACCATTTGTGGGTCAGAACGTTTCGTGTTCCATTCTTCCTCGCCCTGAGGTCATTGCAGCAGTTGGCATCCAATGTTATGGGCGGGGGGCGATTGTCATATTCTACGTTATCTTGCCGTCGGCCTTGGCCGACGTCAGACCGCCCAAATCTACATGTTGGTTTCGAGGATGCTTCTCCGACTTATGGGGGTGAATCAAGGAGGCAGCGGCGTTGTAGGAACGCCGGCGAGCGCAAGCCAGCAAACCAGCTGGCACTTCGAACGACCGAGCCGGCAAAACGATTATTGGAAGTTGAATTGGTCCCTTGCCCAATTCGACAGTCTGTCGATTGGCCCTGGCAATTTTTTGGTCCAGGACCCCCAAACGCCGAGTATTTCTCCATCGAGTCAGGGATCGTTTCTCCCGTCCTCCGTCTTTTATATCCCGCCCGTCTACCTCCTCTCCCCCACTTGGGTTCGGGATCGGTGGAGCCGAGGCAGAATCGGCGACGTTTTGGGCTGAACCCCAGGGTCGGTTGCTTGTTGGCTGGCCGAGCCGCGCGTTTTTAGATGGCCCTGCGAAGCGAAGGCTATGCAGAAAATGCCCCCGTCCGTTTGGCGCACTCAGCGGAGGGGGGGGGGGGGAGGAGGACGAGGGGGAGGAGGAGGAGGAGGAGGAGGAGGAGGAGGAGGAGGGGAGGAGGAGGAGGAGGGGGAGGACGAGGGCCAGGACGAGGACGAGGAGGAGGAGGACGAGGAGGAGGAGGAGGAGGAAAAAGAGGAGGAGGAAAAAGAGGAGGAGGAACAAGAGGAGGAGGAGGAGAAGGAGAAGGAGGAGGAGGAGGAGGAGGAGGAGGAGGAGGAGGAGGAGGAGGAGAAGGAGGAGGAGGAGGAGGAGGAGGAGGTGTGGCAGGATCAATAACAATAGCAGCATAGTGAACAGATGGCGGAGGACGACGGGCAAAGGGCGAGGAGATAGGAGATGAGGACGAGGAGGACGAGGAGGGGCAGGATCACGGACAAGGGTGGGATGAGGGAGGAGGTGGTGGATCGGGGGTGGAAAGGGGGGCGGGGCGAAGGGGAGGGGCAGGAGGAGGAACGCCAGGAAGAACAGGGGGAGGAGGAGGCATGGGGAAGACTGGGGGGAGGGGGATGAGGAAGAGGAAAAGGGAAGGCGGGACGGGGAATACAAGGATGAATAGGGGGAGGACAACGAAGCCAAAAGCGAAGAGGACGTGGAGGAGGAAGGGGGCGAGTTGTCGTCGGAGGGCGGGGGGGAACTGGAATGACAAATCGGGGTCTCGTTACCGCTCTGCGGAAATGCATGTCGAACTCGAGCGGTTGGCGCAGCCGCCGGCCCTCCCACAGGCGCCCGCAGTACTTACACTAGAATCCGCTGATTGGGGACGTTGAGTCTGCATGTGTCACATTGCGCGGCTCGCCCCGTAGCCGTTTGGGCTCGACATTTTCGCTGTGGCTTCCGACATGCAGGGCGTGCTCAGCTGTAACGCGGCATTAAGCCAGACCTTGGCGGCACATGTGTTCCGATCATGCCGCCGCCTCACGGAGGTGGCGAAGTCTTTTTTTTGCATCCCTGTACGATTCGTTTGTCACTCGCGATGTAGATGCGACTATACTGCAAATTTATTGCAACGACGGCACGCCCATCCGCACCAAAGTGTATGCTCGACTGGCGTTGCAGGGCGAGAAATTTCGCCGCAGCGGGCACAAAGGATCTGAACTCCTTGTGCAGGGAAACTTCTGTTGGAGACGGCACGGCGGCCTACTAGAGACGGCAATGCAAATTACCGATCCGATGCCGCTGACTTGTGGCAAGTCGGCAGTTGCGATATTTGCGTGTTCTCTGCAAGCCTGGAAACCATTGCGTTCCCAAGGCCACAAGGGCATTGCGCTGGAAGTGAGGGTGTTCGACCGTGCTTTGTATACCGCGTTGGACCGGCTGTTTCGGCAATACCTTCTCCGACAGCATCTTCTCGTCCAAGACGCCTCCCAGCAAGAGCTGCTGTACCTCACAGAATGGCCCATCACGTTGCCTTGTGTTTTGCATGACGTACAAAACGCACAAAAATGGGCCCTATACCATTGGTCAGCTGAGCCAGAGTTGCTGCGTGATGTTCACATCGGTATCGAATCTTTGCGGAACGGGTACGACCTCATACTGGGTTCGGTTGCGCGATGTTTGGGGGAAGTCGTTGAATTCAAACCAGATGCCCATCTCCCGTGCCAGGGCGTGTTGCGGCAGGTGTGGATGAGTCTGGGAGTTCACGACAGCATATTAGAGTTCTTGGTGTCTCACCGGATATTCCGCGCAGGCGAAAAGCTAGTTGTTTCAGATTCGTCTTCCCAGCATGGGGGTTTTCTCGAAGAGTTGAGCGCAGCTTTGCTGGGCCTCTGGAAGTTTGTTCAGTTCAGCGAAAGCAGGTGGCTCACAGTAGGCCGCGCCTGCAGACCGATCACTTGCGGCTTCCTCTCCGGTCTCGACCTGGTGTGCCAGCGCATTATCGACATGCCACACACGTCTACTTACTACATCGGAGGTGTTCGTCGCATTTTGCCGAACGTTCACCGCCGATTCATCCTCGTCGCGTCCCTGACAACGTGGCTGCCGGATGAGATATTCCAGCTCTTACTGAGGGACGACAGGTTGATGAAGCAGATCGACGCTGTGACCGAGGCAATGGATGATGAGTTTGAGTACCTTTGTTTCATGAGCTCGGAGGTTTACGATCTCTTGGCTGTGGCGTGCCCTGGCATGAGCGGGTTCGATCTGCGGTGCGACGTCTTGGGGGCTGCTCACGTGTTGCGAGCGTTCATATGGTTCAGATCTTTACGAAAGTTGAACGAGTATCCGCTCTGCTTGGCCATGGGTGACGTCAGGGCCAATGTGGGGGAGCTGCTGCAGGGCGATGAGCCCGACGAGGACGTGGCGGCCAGAATCTGGAGGCTCGGCCGGAAGAGGTTGGCACCCTTGCCGCGCATCTGGTCCGCTCTGGAGTTGCTGAAGGAGACTAGCTTTTCGACTCGCATCGTTGAGCAGATGCACGCCCACGCAGCGGTGCATGCTCGGTTCCACCCCGAATACGATCTGGAGACCGTGCGCGTCAGGGCTTTCTGCTCCCTCGTGAACGCGTTGATGCCGAGCCCGACCGCAGACGAGAAAGCGCTCGAGAAGGAGAGGGCTACGTTAGAACGGCTTCGAGCAAAGCGCCCTCGGAGGCTCAACGCGCGATCGCTGTGCATCAAGGACTTGATCGAGCTATGCACGCAGAGGCGCGCGCAGGGCAAGATCAAACGCCATTGCCCCAACCTGCAGCAGGATCTCCTGGCCAAAGGGGCCGCTATGTTTCAGAACATCAGTGCCGAGCGCCGCCGCGAGTACGACGCTGTCGTAGTGCGGGCGCAGGCGGAGGCAATCCGCGCCACTTCCAACAGCATCGAGGAGAGCCAGCGTCGTCTTGCAGAGCTCATCGAGCGCCATGAGAAGGCCATGGAGGCGCTCAGAGCCGAAGGGCCGCCCTTGACCCTGGTCTCTGCGAAGTTGTCCACAGAGCAGGCCGCCAGACTTGAGGGCGCGTTCGGGGACCAGCGGCAGCTTCGCGACGTCGACGTGCTCGCTCGGAGGGCCGCGGTGCAAGAGGCTAGCATGCCCGGCGCTGCCTTCTTCCAGGCCTTGGGGGAGATGCCCGTGGCGCCGCTGCCAGAGAGCAGCCGCCCTGCGCCCCCATCCTGGGTTTCTCGGGTCGCCCAGGAGCGCGCGTCCTTCCGGAAGACAGTATTCAAGGTCACTGTCGGCACCGACGAGCTGTACTTGTTGTTCCTGTTCGCCATGCAGAGTCCGGCCACGGTCGTGTTCGCTCGTCTCAACCACGCTGTGCGGCCGGCCTTGGTCGGCGTCTTCAATATGGAGGCGCTGGATGCTGCTTCTGGGCAGTGGCCGATCGAGTTCACCACCGACTTCGCCCAGTTCGTAAGCGCGGACGACCTCCCCGACGTGCCTGCCTCCGACGTCGCCGTGCTCACGGGCGCCCGCTACCTGGGGGGCGCCAGGGTCGGCGCCAGATCGGGCTGGCAACCTCTCGACGCCATGCTCGGACAGTTCCCCCCCCGCCCCGCGGCCCCGAAAAAGGAGGCGAGCGAGGCGTGGCACGAGGACCTGAGCAAGGTCAAGCCGTACTTGAAACGCTTCTTGGAGCAGGTTCGGGCTTGCCGCCGGAATGCGCCACGCAGTCTGGGGTTGGGGGCGTCTCCCGGGGGAAGGGGCGGCAGGGGGCGTTCTGGGAGAATTGCCCGCGCAAGCTGGCCTGTCGCCGAGGCTCCGTTCCCTGGGGGCGCCCGAGGGTCCCACGCCGTAGTGCCGAGTGCCCTACCTAGGCTTGCCTTGGTCTGCCATGGGCCACGAGGGGCCCACCTGCGGCACTCTGCGTTCCACGCGCGCCTCTCTGCTGGCTTCTTCTTGTTATTTTGAAGAGAGGTGGGGCCATGGGAAGGGGGGGGGCGGGGGGGCAGGGCAATGGCGACGAGGAGGAGGAGGTGGAGGAGGAGGAGGAGGACGAGGAGGAGGAGGAGGAGGGGGGGAGGGGGGGAACGGGGGAAGGCGTGCAGGGCCTTCGGTATGCTATGATATGCTGCGCTATGCTGTGCTATGTTATGCTGTACTGCGCTATGTTCTGCTATGATATGCTATGATTTGCTAAGCTATGCTGTGTCATGCTGCGCTGTGCTATGCTAAGCTACGCTGTGCTATGCTAAGTTGCGCTATGGTATGCTATGCTGTGCTATGCTCATGCTCATGCTATGCTATGCTATGCTATGCTATGCTATGCAGTGCAGTGGGCGGCGTGCCGGCGCCTCGGGGCGCACCGAATATTCTCGTGCCCGGAGGGGCTTCCAGGCACATCGTTTTGGCCATCCGATGTCGGGGGGATGAAGCCCTTGGAGGTCAGGTGGCCAGTTGTGGCTGCGTCAGGGATACTGCGAGCAACCAGCTCCGCGGTTCAGTGCCTCGGTGCGCCCTTTCGGGGTCTGCTCCTTGCTGCGAAGTGGAGACGCACCCCAACCACACGTCCGCTGGCACAGGTCGGCGGCGGACCACCCCCCAGGCTCGCTCGGGGCCCAGCTCGGCGTCTGCACGGCCTGCAGGCGCAGACGACCACGACGACTTCGGCGTGGGGGCCCTCAGCGACGAGGATTTGGATGAACTCTTCGCTGCTCTCAGCGAAGCGAGACAGCTCATCGTGGACACTGTGGAGGTGGACGAGGACTTCCACGTGAATGTTTTGGGAGGCCTCTGGACGATGGTGCATCGTGGCGTCAGCCACGATGCGTATCAAGGGACAGTGATCAGGCGTCAGAGCCAGGCGAGCAAGTTTGCTGTATCTTACGGCTTCCAGGCGGCCCAGCGGTTTAATGTGACACTATACGGAGAAGAAGGCGCCCTCACCTTGGCTCAGGCATGGGTGCGCAAATCTCAGTTTTACTACAATATCTGGAAAGCACAGCCACTGCACGACTACATCTTCTCGGCGGCAGAGTTGCGTGCTTGGGAGCCACCTCCCGCACTGGTGGCCTTGATTGAGCGCCTGCCGCCGGGCCGGGCGAGGTCGCGGGCAGTTTCGTTGCGAGACTTTCGCCTTGCCCGCCCGTGATGCCCGGCGCGCCTGCCAGGCAACTGTACACAAAAATCCATGCATGCCATTATTCCCTCTGTTGTCCGCTCACAGAATATTGCCATCCTGGGTGCCTTGAGGATACGTGAATTTCGAGGTGGATTTCGAAGTGGATTTCGAGGTGGATTTCGACGTGGATATCGAAAGTGGATTCCTACGTGGATTTCGACGGTGATTTCGGGCTCGATTTCGAAAGTGGATTTCGAGGTGGATTCGAAGTGGAAATCTGGGCCCGATTTTCTGGCACCCCTCACACACTTCACGGCCTCCCCAAATCCACATGAAATCCACATCGAAATCCACATCGAAATTCACACGGAGAGTCGGGCGCCGGTTCCACCTGGCTCCGCCCTCGGCGCCCGGCGCCGAAGAGAGACCCAGCCTCGCTGGGCGCGACAGACGTGGGCGGCGGCTCTCGGCGGAGACCGTGCCTCACAGGCGTCAGGGGTGCGCTGAGGCGACCGCCTGCGCGGAGAGCAATCTGTCTCACGGCCTGGATGGGAGGCAGCAGGGGGTTTTGACTCTTTTGCCGCTTGGTTTTTTTGGCGGTCCCTGGTTCCGAAAACGGCTTCCTGGGGCCGCGCTCAATGCGGGGGACAGTTTTGTGGTCGTGTTGGCGGGGCTCCTGCTTGTTCCCTGGGCGGCATAGCGGCCGCCGCTGCCACCGCCAGGTCAGCCTCATTCCAATGCCTGTCGGCAGTCCGTCGCCGCGCGCCAGTGCCCAACGGTACCCAGCGGCAAGCGCGCGGTTCCCAATGGGGTGGGGCTCCGGTGGCGCTCGCGCGTGGGCTCGCGTGGATCTCGCGTGGGGCTTCCGTGGGGTTCCCTTGGGGTTCGCGTGGAGCTCGCCCTGGGCTCGTGTCCTTCCCCTCCAGAGGCGGCCCCCAGAGGGGCCCACAACGGGCCCGGAGAATCCCTGGGAGTTCCGACTTCGATGCACTTTTGTCGATGTTGTGAGGTCTCGGCCGTGGGGGTTGTCCAAGTGTGCGTGTTGGCTCCGTCTGTGCAGGATTGGCCGGTGCACCCAAAATGCGGGGCCTTCCAGTTGTGGGATAAAGCCCCGCACGCACGGAAAAGGGCTGCATGAGCTAGGAATACCCGCCTTTCCTCACTCTCCCTTTCCTCTCTGCCTGTCTGTCAGTCTCTCTCTTTCTCTCTCTCTCTCTCTCTCTCTCTCTCTCTCTCTTTCTCCGCATCTTCTTTTTGGGCCCTGCGGGAGCCCCCCCTATGAGGCCCCACGAGGCCTCCAAGAACGGTGCAGTGAAACCCTCCACAAACTCCGTGTGACGGAGTTTGAACTGAGACCTCCCAGTATCCTCTTGGAGCCATGTTGGGGCCGTCTTGGGGCCATCTTGGGCCATTCTTGCAGTACCTGTGCCCGCCTTGGGGCCGTCTCGTGCCTGGGTAGGATCGCAGCCGCTCCGCCGGACAGCTGCAGCCGAGGCCAAACAAAAGGCTGAGGCGGATCGTAGCCGTCCTGGTCCTAGCTTGGACTCGGCATGGGCCGGGGGGGTCTTGCTATGTTGCCCTGTCTTGCCCCTCCCGCGAGCCCGGGGCCATTGGTGTTTTTTTGTCCTCTATTCTGCGGCATTCGGGTCCGCAGACCCCCAAGAGGCTCCCAGGAGGGCCCACAGAGGATCCCAAGAGACAGAATTCATGGATTTGCCCAATGTGTTTCTAAGGTTTTCGGCGCTCCCGCCTTTCAGGCGCCCGGGCGCTCCACGACGGATGCACATGTAGGTCTCGGGCGGCGCCCGGGACCAGGGCCCTGGGTGCACCTTGCCGGACAGGGGCTCCAGGGGCGTAGCACAAGGTTCCCCTCAGAGCCTCGGGCCGAAAGTCCGCAGACGAAACGCATCAGGCCCCCCCCAGCCCGCAATTGGCACGACAGTTTACCATAGTGGCGTAGCACATCCCGGGAGCACCGAAGATGCTTTCTGAACGGCTTCCGAAGGCTTGCAGGCGGCCCAAGGACGGCCCCGTGCCAGCTTCAGCGGGGGTTCGAGGATTCCGTTCCGGAGCCATTTTGGCTCTCGGCCGTTTGGGGTGTCTGCGTCCGTGTCGGGGCGTCGCGGGAGCCGGGTTTCTGTCTGGCAGCATGGCCCCGAAGGCCAGCATGTTCGCGGCCGAGCAGGCGCCGGACAGCGTCAGCAAGGGGGGCCTCGTGGATGCCGCGTTCGTGGCGAACATCAAGAAACGTCGTGCCAGCGCCCCTGTGCTGGAGAAGCCGCTGGACGCATCGATCAAAAGGAAGTTGTACGACAACTTCAAAGACATGAGTGACCAGGAGCTGTACGGCAATGTCGACAGCGAGGGGTGGACGCTCAGGGAGCGGCTGGAGGAGCGAGTCGCGAAGCACCAGGAGAACCCGAAGGCCTTCTCACTCGGGGCGCCCTTCTACAAGTCGCTCAGGGCGACCTTCCGGTCCAGCAGCAGCTCGCAGAAGAAGCTCGCGAGCGTGGAGGTTGGCGAGTCTGTGAACGTGGACCCTCGGCTGATGCAGGCGGCGATCAAGTTCAAGAAGACCGGGAACAAGGCCGTGTTCAACGCCGTCCTCCAGCATCTGAACGCGGTGAACGTCCAGGAGGTCGTGGGCATCTGCCAGTGCGGACTGGAGATCAGGCCGGCTGCGAGCCCCGACCAGCTACGCTATGGGAGAGAGCTGATGGAATTGTTCAAGCGCTTGGACGTCCCGGCGCATTTCCCGGAGCAGACCGCCCTCATGTTGGACCTCTTCGACCAGGTCTTGGAGGCCCTCTACGCCAGCGCCCTCGGCGAGCACGCGAAGCCCAGCAAGTTCTTGGAGTCGCACTCGGACATCGCCTACCTCGTATTGCCGCGGGAGTCCGTGGAGCGCCTCCTCCAGGCGTCGACGTGGACGGAGGTCCACGGCGACTTGGCCCAGGCGTGCCTGTCTGGGAACGTACTCGTACAAAAACCATTCACTGCTGGGCGTCCCGGGGCGGTCCGGATCCCGAGGTCCGTGCCTTCTGCGGGCCTGGCCCCAGCGAAACGGGGAGGAAGAGGAGGAGGAGGGAGGAGGGTGGAGGAGGGAGGAGGAGGAGGAGGAGGAGGAGGAGGAGGAGGAGGAGGAGGAGGAGGAGGAGGGAGGAGGCGGAGGAAACGAGGATGGGGGAGAGGGTCAAGGAGGGGATGGGGGGAGGGCGGAGGAGGGTCGAGGGGGGGTGGAGGAGAGCAGGCGGCAGGAGGCATTCCCAGGGACATGAGGTTTTTTCCCCTGCCCGGCAACTGCGCGGCGCTCCCGAGCCGGTCGCGCTCGGCGTTCGCAGGTGTGGTTGGTACTCGCGCAAGCAGGTCACGTCCGCCTGCCTCCCCTCTTCTGTCTTCCTCTCGTGCCGCTACTTTGCGCGTGGGCTTTCAAACGTAGAGCTGTCTAGAGCCGCAGCCAGGTGGCCGGAGGCCGGGCCCCCCCCCTTTCAGGCAGCCGCTAGGTGGCCAGGGGCTGCCGGTTTGAGTGTTCATGCGTTGACGTAGTGCGCTTGCGATGCCAGGCGAGGGCGCCTTCTTCTCCGTGGGTCTGCAAAAAAGAGGCGTATTTTTGCAGACCAGCGGGTTTTGGTGAAACCCGCGGGTCTGCAAAAACACGCCCCCGCGGCGTCGCCTGGCGGTGTTGCCTCAGGTATTAAGTGGTCACTCGCCCCTGGCGGCCTTGTCCCAATCGTCGATGGTCGGCCATGCGGGATCACAAATGTGCCACTGCTGGTCGTGCCTGCCTTTTCGCCGCTCTCTGGTCCTCCTCCTCCTCGTCCTCCTCCTCGTCCTTGTTCCCCGACCGCATTTGCAGGCCGCATTTCGTGACATTTTGGTTGCGTGTTGTCGCATTTGCGGGGCTCCCCTTCTCGTTTCTGGGTGTACCAGCCTATCCTCGATGTGAGGCCCGCCCCCAGCGTAGGTCGCGCTTGCCTGCTCAGCGTCTCTGTTTCCGTGGCCAGAATTTCGGCCACGGTCGCGGGGCAACTCTGCGGGGTGCTTGCCTCGTCGGCGGCGCGTGAGCCGTCGTGAGCCCTGCGGATGGCCCCCAATAGCGTTTAACAGTTTTAACGCCGAACCCCGCCAGACGCCAGCATGTGTACAAAAAAAGGGGAGGGCAAGGGCTGGGTAGGCCAGGGCGGGGGCAGAGGGAAATGGGAGCAGTGAGTTACGTCATCGGAACCGCCTGCCAGGCCGTGGAGCGGAAGATCGGCATGAGCCTGTTCGGCTCTGGCCTGCGTTCGGTGCAGAACGAGGTCGTGGAGAGGACATTGGAGGAGTCGGCGGACGCGCTTTTCAACAGCAAGGACAAGGTGACCCCGGCGTCGCTGCTCAAGGCCAAGCAGGCTGCGTACACCTTGCTCACCGGCAAAGACGTGCTGAAGAAGCTGGAGGACAAGAGGGTTGTTCAGATCACGTACCTTTTCCAGAAGTTGTCGATCCCCGTGAAAACTCTGAACGACCACATCGACCACGTCTTCGCGGCACGCTGGAAGAGCAACGCGGTCCGCGCGAAGATCGCCCCTGCCCTATTCGGCGAGATGGGCTTGAGCGGGGCCGCCCCGCTCGCTGACTACGCCGACCGCCTCGATAGCAAGCTGTACAAGGATAACAAAGTCGTGCGGGAGAGCATGGAGACCAGCTTCTCGGAGGACCACCCGGTCGGGCCCGGCGATCGTCCAGCACCTGCAAAAGTACCTGAAGAAGGCTCTGGGCAGCGACCCGACCTGGCGCATCGAGGTTGCGTTCTTCGAGGCCATGGTTGGCGCCAAGGGCTTGGAGAAGCTGAAGGGGGACGTGATGTCGTTTCTGCCGACGCAGGAGAAGCACGTGGAGATCGAGGACGTCGCGCAGAAGTTGGAGCTGCTGCAGTCCAGCGACGTGTACCAGTTCTGCAGCGAGACTGGCCAGGGGCAGGCGCGCGCGGCCGTCGCCGCCGTGCACCAGGCCGCAGAGGGCCGCGCGCCGAAGTGGGACGAGCACATGACGGACTTCCTGAACAAGGTGAAGCTCAGAATCCCCCTCTTCTGCCGCTTGCCGGGCCCCGACGGCGCCGCGTTCGTTGGCGAGCAGGCGGCCCAGCGTTGCGTCGACTTGGCGCACGAGAAGGGTAGCGAGTGCAAGTGGGAGGACCTGGACCTGGTGGGCCGTTTCGAGTGGCTGCTGCCGTCAGGCTCCGCCGAGAAGTACAGGAAGACCAAGGCCGCGGCTGAGAAGAACGCCAGCGCCTCCTCCGCCGGCTCGGCCGCCTGCGCCGCCACGCCGAGCTCCAAGAAGCACGGCGCGGGCGAGCCGGCGAGCGGGGCGAAGGCGCCGGCGAAGAGGGGCCGGGCCAGTGAGGTCCAGAGTGCCCTGGACATGTTCTCTGTGAAGAGGAAGGCCAGCGGTCGTTAGGGGTAGGCGTTCGCCGGAGGCACCCGTCCGAGGATTCCGCAGCATTGAAGTGCGTACGTGTGATCGTAATACGGTATATGGCACGATGCTCTGAACATGTTTACTGTTGTCGTGTGTGTGTGTGTGTGTGCGTGTGTGTGTGTGTGTACGAGACTACGTGTCACATGTGCCTCCGCGATCGAGAGCCGTGCCGCCTGTCTCTGACGGGGCCGCAGGCGGCGCGAACGGCCTCGAAGCGGGCCCGCGCAAACACTCTGCCCTCTGTGGGGCCACTGCCGGGGCCAGCGGATGGGGGAAACGCTGGCGAAGCTACTGGGCGTCGCGCTCTCGCAGGAGAAACGGTCTCTGCTCTCTCGCCAGGGGCTGCCGACGCTAGCAGCAGCAGGGGCGGGAGGAACTGGCGCAGGCGCCGGGGCAGGGTTGCGAGGGGGAAGAGAGGGGCGGGGAGGGGTGGGGGCAGGGGGGGGAAGGTGGAGGAGGAACGCCTGCCAGCGCCGGTCGGCGCCCGTGGTCGCTTGGGAGTGGTTGTCAACGCTGGCGGGGCACTTGCGTTCGCCCGCCAGCGCCTGCGGGCGGTGCCCGTCGGCGCCGGCGACCGCTTCCCGAGCGCGGGGCGCGAGTCGGAGCCGGGGCAGAGACGGCGGCAGCAGCGGGGTCAGGGGCGCGGCCTGCGCGAGAGGGAGAAGGGCGGAGGAGGGGCGGAAGGGAGGGAAAGGACGGGGCAAGGGAGAAAAGGGGGCGGGGGCCGGGAGGGAGGGGGGACCAAACGGGGGAGGAAGAAGGGGGAGGGAGGGCGGGGGATGGGGGGGGGAGGGCAGGAGGGAGGAGAGCGCGGAGGAGGCGGAGGAGGTTCGGACCAGCCTTTTTTTTTTGTTTGCTGCAGCACGAGCCAATCACGAAATCGGCCCACGACCACATACTTCTCGAAAGCATGGCGCGGGCCAGGCATAACCCGCAGGCCGGATCTGTCGCAGCGGCGTTTCTGGACAGTTTCGCCCCCCCGGGGCACTGCCCAGTTGCGCCCCATTGGCGCCGAAGCAGTGGGCAAACCGAAGCGCCGCGCCCTCGGGGCCGCGCGCCCGAACTGGAGAAGGCCAGAACTTTTGTTCGAATGTGCCGCGCCGTGGCTCCAACCTTGCAGGCGCGGGGGTTCTAAAAGTGCCTCGTTGCGAGCGCCTCGTCGCAATCTGGCGGCCGCCGCATGTGAACAATAATGCCGCCGCGCCATGCCTTTCGGCGCGCCCGCCCGCCTAGCGGCGCGTGCACCGGAATGCCGCGCGGACGTCTGGGGTCGCGCGAGCCCCGCCCGTGGTCGAAACTGTCCTGCAGGTGCGGGGGCGCCGTCCGCAAGTGGCCGCAGGCCACCGCGTGCTGCTTTTTGGCGCTTTTGGGGCGAACGCCTCATAGTGCCAGGCGGGCGTCTGGAGGCTTGGGATATCCCGCGCTTGTCGCGATTTTGAAGCAGGCGCGGCGGCGCCGCATGCAGGCGAGCCGGACTGCCGGAAGGCGACGGGTGCTTCGGCCAGCGCAAGGCGCAACTGTTCCTTTCGCCGCGTTTCGATCGTTTCCATCGCCGTTGGCGCGTGTTCGCGCGAGCGGGGCCGTTCGTTAGATAGGCCCCCGTGGTGGTGGCGCGTGTTACCTGGGCGGCGCGCCCGTGCGCGTCCGCGTCTTCATAGCGCCCGCGCTCGGGCAGGCGAGGTTTTCATTTTCCAAGACGCAAGAAATATTCTCGCAATGTTTGCTGAGACCTGGCAATCTGAGAGATCGTGACGGTTCGGCCACGCCCACAGGGGTAATTATACGGGAAGTGTGGAAGGTTTCTTGGAAGCACCCATGTTGCTTCTCAGAACGCGCGGGCCTTGGTCTGTAGATGTAAGGCCGGCGCCTTCTAAGAAGCAGCCCTCTTCTGAGAAATGTCCCCCCCCCTCCCCCTACCCGAAGCCACTAAGTGTGCGTTGGCATGCGTTCGCGTGGTTCCACTATCGTTGGAGCTCTGTGCGTTGATTTAAAGTTTCTTGCATTAGCGTTGCCTCCGCCTTCCATGGGAATGCTTGGCATTGCATCGCAAAGCCATTTCAATGCAAATCATTACTTTCGGTGACTTGCACAGAATTACATTGTTTTGCACTACGTTGCACTGGGAGTATGTCGAATGAGGAGAAGGTAGCGCCACCAGTGACGAGGCGGAGCTGTAGGAGGAGGGGGGGGGGAGGAGTAGGAAGAGCTCCGAGGAGCAGGAGGAGGGGTAAAAGGAGGAGGAGGAGGAGAAAGAGGAGGAGGAGGAGGAGGAGGAGGGGTAGAAGGAGGAGGATCAGGAGGAGGAAGAGGAGGAGCAGGAGGAGGAGGAGCAGGAGGAGGAGGAAGGAGGAGGGAACGCTGCGAGCATCACGCTCAGAGTCCGGCCAACAGGAAAAGGGAAGGCGCAGGAGGAGGAGCAGGAGGAGGAGGAGGAGGACCCCTTCCTGCCTGTCAGTGGGGCGCGAGGCCCGCGCGCGCCGACAAAACGCGACAAGACGCCTGCGACGACGACGGCGACGACGACGACGACGACGTGACGACGGCGACGGCGACGGCGTTGACGGCGACGGCGACGGCGGCGACGGCGACGGCGACGGCGACGGCGACGAAGACGACGACGACGACGACGACGACGGCGAAGCCGACGGCGACGACGACGGCGACGACGGCGACGACGAGGCCTCGCGCGCGCGCGAGCGCGCCGAGGCCGCGACGGCGGGCGCCTGGACGGCGACGGGGCTGCTGCGGCAGTGGCGCGCGGAGGGGCGGTGGCTCGGGCGCGGCGGGCTGGGGGCTCCCGCTCAAGCAGCGGGTTGGATTGAATGTACATCGGCGGTTGGCGCCCAATAGCGTTCAATAGTTCAAAGCACACCGAATTGTGTTCAACTGGCGCTCAAATAGCGCCCAGTAGCGACCGACAGCGCCCAGTAGCGCCATGCGAGGAAGATACATCGTGTCCGCGTTGCTCGCGATTGGGCGCGCTGTTGGGCACCATGGGGATCGCGACAAGCTTCCGTGAGTCTATGCGTTGCTTCCTAAAGACCATTGGGTACTAGATTTGTTCGGTCGCGATCGGTCGCGACCGATTTTGAAGCAAGTCGGTCGCGTCGCCCCTGGTGCGTTCCGCGCGCCAGGGAAGGGGTCCAGCGCCGACCCAAGAAATCCTCGCGAAGCTTCGAGAACTTCTGTTCATGCAGTTGGTTTGTCCCTCTATTGGTGACGGACCGTCTGGTGAGCTCGAGACCCAGGAGACGTCACCACACGGGCTGTCACCGGGACTCTGGAGGCGCGCTCTCGAGTGGCATCTTCGGAGAACGACCTTGTCCCATGACGGCCCGCTCACCCCATGGTCTGAACGTTACCTCAGTGTGCAGGGCTTAGGGCGGAACCCATGTGGGCGAACGCATCCCGAAAGTCCCCTCGCTTTATTGGTCTGGAAGCGTGCAGGAGGATGAACCGCATGCTGTGCATCGTCATGCGAACGCGCAGCGCAGGGCTTCCACTGCTCTGAGTACTCCATTCCCTGAGATCCGACGTTGCGAATCTAAACCCAATGCTTCTGCTTCATTTTTTCGAGCCTGATCGATCTGTGGTGGTCCCGGGGCCTAGAACTCGGCGAAGACGCGAGTTGTGAAGAACATGCCACGCCAAGATCCCAGGGCTTGACTCCCTGGACTGTGTGGTCACCAGGCCGTCTGGACCCCAGAGGGAAAGGTGGCCCGCACGACTGAAGCGGACGAGGAGCGCCAGCTCGCTGTCCTCTGGTCTGCTTGCGCGGGCGCTGCTGTCGTGGCCGCCCTCCCAATGAATTTGGAGCCACATTGACTAATTGGATGTTGGCGACGGTGATGGTCACAATGATCATGACGACGATGACGACGATGGGCGATGATGCTGATGATGTTATTGTTGTTGTTAGTGGTGGTGGTGGAGATGGTGATGGTGATGATGATGATGATGATGCTGGTGATGCTGATCATGATGATGCTGATGATGAGGATGATCATGATTATTACTTTTCTTACGATTCGGATTCTTATGATTATGAGGATGATGATGATGCTGATGATGAAGATGATGATGCTTGTGATGGTGATGATGATGCTGATAATGATGAACGCGATGACGATGCTACTGATGATGGCGATGTCATGGTGATGCTGATGGCGATGCTGCGGATGCTGATTGTGACGATGATGGTAATGATGATGGTGGTGGTGATGATGATCATTATCATGATGCTGCCTATCATGATAATGGCGATGATGATTATGATGATGTTGCTTCCATGTATGATTTTGATCATGATGATTACGATGCTTACCATGGTGACGGCGACAGCGACGACGACGCGGATGTTGATGATGATGACTGTGTTTAATGGTAGGGACGATGGCGATGGCGATGATGTTGATGATGACGGCACGGATGATGATGATGAATATAATGATGTTGATGATGAGTATGATGATAGCGTAGAAGACGAATATTATAATGATGATGTTGTTGATGATGATGTTGATGGTGATGGTGGTGGTGATGCTGATCGTATCTGACGATGCAGATGATGACGGCTGAGAATGAAAGGGCGGGAACCCTCGAAAACGATATCGTTGTGATAGCGAAGAGCACCAGCAGCAGCAGCAGCAGCAGCAGCAGCAGGATGAGGGAATTGGGGATGGCAGGAGCGCCGGCGCCGTGTGCTGAAGAGCTTGGACTGGACCCGCTACCACCTCATGGTGTATCCGAGAAGCCGACGCTGCCCTCGGCAGTCCGCAGCCGTGGGCGCCCTGCTACAGTATGAGCCCTGGCAGAGGCAGACCAGCCGTATCAGTAGCAGCAGTTCGGGTAGCAGCAACAGTAGCAGCAGGAGCAGCGGCAGCAGGCAATCGAAGTAGAAAAAAAACGGCATCAAAATAGATTGTCGGAACTCCGCGCAGATCTCTTGGATCGGCGTTGGGCCTCCTGGCGGCGCCTCTGGCGCCGCCCCTTGCGCGCTCCGCGCGCCAGGGAGGGCGGTCCAGCGCCGATCCAATATGTCCGCGCGGGACTCCAAGTGTACGTTTATCCCGTTTGTTCTTCCTCTCACCAGGCAGGATACAGTGGCAGGAGCATTAGCAGCATCAGGAGTTGCAGCAGCATTAGCCCCAGCAGTGCCGCCAACCAGCAGCAGCAGTAGTGTTCGGCACTGGCGGCAGTAGACGCACCACTCGCGGAGAATGATGCCAGCATGTAGAGTGACAGCACCATGGATCGCATTAGAATTCGCAGCAGCAGTGGTGGTAGCATTCAATCGGGCG